TTTATTTATACTAAAAATAACAACTTCCCCATTTATGATTTTAACATTTTGGCATGAGCCAGATCCAGAACAGGTTGAAGATTGATTAAGAGTGGAGATTCAGACCGGAATTAATTGATTTTTTTAATTTACTAATTGAAAATAATAATAATAATAATAAAACAATAATTGAAAATTATTATTATTATTTTTTTTCAATCTAAACTAATTTATTTTAATCACGTTAAAAACTGAATTGAAATAAACTAATTTTTTTAATCTATTAGTGTCTGGACTGAAGATTATAGTAGATATTATTTAATCATGTCTGATCCATAATAAATATCATAAATTAACTTAATATTTAAGTCTGAATCGAAAAATAAACTCCATTAAATTTGGCATGGTATAAAAAAAAATCTTTCTTTCATTTATACTTATTTTAGATTTACTCTATGCTTATTAGATATTTAGAACTTATTTTTTAAATGTGAAAATTAATTATAAGTTGTATTTTTTATACATAATTAAATTAACTTATTTATACTTTCACTTCCACATAAAATATATTTAATCTTTTAATACGTCAAGAAACAAATAGTAAAAAATATTAAACTTAAATTACTGTAGAATTGACTTAGAACTAAAAGACTATTTTTGTTCAAATTTTTATTCATGAAACTAAAATGTGAAGTAGACTCAATGCTTTTTTTTTGTCCAAAAGATTATGTAACATTTTGTATCATAAAGGAATAAAGTACAGTAAAACGCCAATAATACATTATAAGATAAAATATTAAGATTTTTGGTAAGTAAGATAAAGTGCACAAGTTTATTCTATCAAATACCAATAAATGTTATGTACAATTACTAAAATGCTGTTTTTGTTATTCATTTTTAACTTCCAACTTTTTAATTTTGGAACATTATTGTTTATGTTTATATAAATATTTTTACTCTCCACCAAAAAAGTATGTTCATCTTAATTTTTTTGTTATTATCACAATATTAACACAACGTGGTTAAAAACTTTCGTTAAAACAATAGAACTGTAAAAGCCGAGACACTCATCCAATGATGTAGACTAATTAAAGAAAAAAAAAATCAAAAGAGTTTGAAAACCAAAAATCAATTACCAAATAAAAAAAAAATCATAGAAGTATTACTAATTATCTCAAATAGATAGCTTAACTTATATTAAACAAAAAGAAAAATATTTATTAAAAGATGGGATATCTTTTAGAGATTTCATTTAGGTCCTTATTTAAGTAAATTTTACCTATTTATTACATCAAGCGCCCAAAATAAACACTCTTTTTCCAATTTAATCTATTTTCATGCATCATAATTTTTCTTGATTTGACTAATAAAAAAAGAAACATTAATGTGAGGACGAAAATAGTAAATGTAAAGAACATTGAGGAACTACATATATTTAAGCTTAAGACCCCCCCTTCATTCTCTGCAACCAATGGTCTTCTATACTTTAAGAAAGCTCTATTTGTTTTTAAATAAGATGCATGGAGATGACACCCCATATGCAATTGGTTAATAAAGTATATGATTACATAGGTTGCTCGAAATGTGCATAGAAAAGAGGAGCAACGGTGAAAATGGATCAATCTACAATGAACAACTAGACTCCTTTTTTTTGCTTGTAGGGCTTAAATTGGACGTCCAAAAACCACCCATGTGTGACACCATGATTTTCGTGATAGAACACTCTAACTACTAGATTTTCTTTTGATGTGAAAGGCTTTCAGGTTTTTACTACAAATGTAGTTTCCTTGGTCTTTATAAATGTTCTACCTCGAAAAAGATGACTTGTGAGCATCCTCCATAAGTGAATAGAATTAGCGAGAAGAGATGAGCGGAGCTAAAATAAGATGAACACTACATAGTGGTAGATACAGTGACTAAAATGCTAAGAAAGGGAAGTGGAGGGGAAGGCAAGGCAAATGACATTAATAAATGTCCTCATGATTATAGCTTCTACTCATACAAACATAATAATAGTGTCTATAAAAATTGGTGTTGTTAAATTGAGCATAAAAGAAAAGAACATGATAAACAAATGTATGCATGCAAAAAAAGAGGAAGAATGCCCTTAAAGTAACAAACCCTAAAATTCTCACAAGACAAACATGCCCAAACAATATATTAGCCCAACCCATTACAAAAGTGTAACACCTGAACCTGAAAATTTAGTCTGAGATAATTTAATATTAACAAAATAATAAATCAAAAAAATTTAATTTTTAATTTTTTGTTAATTTTTGGAGAAATATGGATTTGGGATGAAATTGAAATTAATTTTTAAAAAACAGGGTGAAACTATGAATAAGGAGATGTGTATTTGAAAGAAAAATTTAAAACAGATGGTCAAATCGCAAAAAGAAAAAATACGGGTCATGTGGGACGGCCACGTCAGTAGTAACGACGAGTCAGAATGCATTACGTGGCAAACAAACTGACACCAGTTCCACACAGGAGCCATACGGACAATCTGCATGCCTCAACAATCCAACGGCTCATATTGCATCTCGCGTGCACGGACGACCCATATTTGTTTTCTCTTTAGACGCGATCGGACGACTGGATTTGATTATAATGGACGATCCAGATTTGCACACAGATCGACCTAAACGAGCTTCGAATCGGACGACCCTCCTTGCTCCATGTCGACGCGAATAGACGGTCAGGTTTAGGGCAAGAGAGGTATTTAAACCTCTCTTCAGTTGGCTCCCAAAACCCAAGCCGACACCACTGACCAAAGAAGAAGAAGAAGAAGGGCGGCCAAACGAAAGCTTAGCTGCTGAAGGGACACCGTCGTCGCAGTACCGGAGCCACTACCGAAGAAAAAAAGGTAAAATTTTTCTCATTCCATTTGGAATTGAATTTTGAACCTCCCCAGTAGGGTCTCGATTTTTTCCTTTTCCGGCCGACAAAGGCTCTCTAACCTTATTTTTCGCATGTTTTCGGCCAAAATGGCTAGGCCGACAGGAACCACCATCGTGGGCAATAAAGCCGGTGCTGGAGCACAGTGCTGCCGTTGTGACGGAACCCTAAACCGGTCGAAAAAGTTTAAAAATACTTATTTTGGCCTTTTTGGGATATTTTTAGATAGGTGTTATGTATTTTTTTACTTTCGCAGGAAAAATTCAAGAAATCTAAGAACCATCAGAGGGCGCAGTAAAAAGAACGATATTTTGAACACCGATCCGGGTAAAGAATATCTCATCCTTTTTTCCGTTATGGTAAATTAAAATTTAATAATTAATAACAATGTGTTTTGTAAAAACTAGAAAACTCTAAAATTAATTACAGGTCACTAGTGGAGTTGGTGGTCAATACGGAATTACCTATTTTGTCTATACTGTTTATCTATTGCTATGATATATTTGTTGGCTTGGTACGTACGTTTTTATTTATAGATTTATTTTTCCTCTCGTTATTGATTGCTTACTTGTTTCTCTCATTTGTTGATTGATTGAAATAAATATTCTAATCACATTTTTTTGATTTATGTATTGGCTATTTACATGACTTATTGTTGATTGATAAAAATAAAATGTTGGTATGTGATTGGTTGATATTGTGGAACATATGAAAGATTTATTGGGTACCCTGGGAAAGAGTGTACGGCCTCGGTGCATAGGAAAAACACTACCGTGGACATTACCTCAGTCGAACGAGGCTGAGAAGTCCTATATTAGAAGAGGTTGGGAGGTATAGTTCACCCTTATACCGGACGGGTTATTAAGGTAGTGGTATGTTTGGTGCCCATTACCAGATGAGGTATGAGGACGGCCAGCTAATTGATAAATTGAGTATTGGGTCCACGCATAAGGGGGATCCCTATAGACCCCTAAAGGTACTAGTAAGCAGGTAAGAAGATAAGTTTGTTGTTATTGCTCATTTAAATATATAATCAAAATGTTATTCCGGTTATTAGGTTAGTTTTGAAAACTCATAAGGGTAACTATGAAATAATATTTTTTAAGTTAAATGAATTTATTTAAATAGAA